TAGGCATGAAACTAAAGGCATTAAATGATTTGCATTATTAAAATATCTATAATGCTGCCTGTCAAAGGTTCCTAAAGGAGGTCCTTAATATTCATACCTTATGTTCTAAATAAAGTTACTCTCCAGCTTTATGGGAGTTCTGCTTCTCTCACCACTAAAAATTCCTTGCAGGTGCCTCTCTGGCTATTTTACAATCCCAACCCTTTTTTCTGTTTAGCCTTGGAAAAGCTGTGCCACTCCATTCCCGGTGCTTTTTCCACAAATTCTGCTGCTTTTCCTCCTTCCCCTGCTGTCCCCCAGCCGTTCCCACCTCTGGAGCTGGTGTTTATGGAAGACTTTGGCTGTTGGAAGTTTGCCCTGCTCAGGATTCCTGCCAAAACCCCCCCTCCTTGAGTTTCTCCCGAAATGAAAAATTACCGAGCACCACCTGCCCAAAAAATGGGGGAATGTGGGGATGCTGAGCTGGGATGGAGAGCACCAAAAGAAGAGGAGGAACACGACAGGCAAGGAGATTTTTCTCCCTTAATTCAATCACTGAAATTACAATCTGTCCCGCTCTAATTCTCTCCACTTGTACCCGTGCAGTGGTTGCAAACACGCTGAAATACGAACTCATGCTCGGTAAGCCTTTAATTCCAGCTTTGATGTTTTTAATCATCAGTACAGATTTGGTAAAAAATGATTCATTAGGCTCGAAACGCATCTCGGGTTCCACGTGACGCCGTGGGGAACGGAGGAGGCAGCGCTTGTTCTTGGGATGTTCTTTGTGCCTGAGCTGATTCTGGAGCTCAGCATCTTCAGAGGGCTCTGGAGTGTCCAGGTGCCTCCTCTCCCCATCTGGTTCTGGCCAAAGCTCCTCGCTGGGAGTGGTGTGAGCAGAGCCCGTGGTGGCTGAGCTCCTCTCTGGGTGCAGCAGCAGGAGAATTTCTGGCCCTGTTTGCCTTCCCTGCCTCCCTCCTGCCTGGAACCGCTCCCTTAACCCTCGCTGCTGTTGGAGTCTGAGACACAGAGTGCGTGTCCGTGCCTCTGAGATCCAGGAGAGCGCTGAATTCCATAAAACATGAAATTTCTGGGCTTTTTTTCATGGTGTTACATGAGGTTAATTGTTAAAGTTAGGTGGAAAAGCTGAAAGTGTGAATGTGGAGATTAGAGAGTTTTCATAAGTCGCTTAAAAAGGTGAAAAAGTTAATTTGGAGTTCAGTTTAGAGAGCAGAAGACAAGATGGAGGATTTAGGGTGTTGTTTCTTTTCCTTCTTCTTTCTTGCAAGCAAAGGTGAGATAATCAGTTTTCTCGTTACGCCAACGAAAAACCACCAAGGTAAAACACATCCAGGTGAATACTTATAAATGGGATGGAAAAAAAAAATAAATCTGCCTTCAGAGCCAAATCCTCCATCCCATTCCCGGCACTGGGGGTTCCAGGGATGCCCCCAGAGCCTCGGAGGTGCCCACGTGGCATCATCGCCCCTGTGGCTCCAGCTGCCCCCGCCGTGCGTGCCAGGGCTGGAAAGATCCCTTTGACAGCTGTTGCCACATGGAAAGAGGGATTTCTGTTCCTGCAAAGCCACCTCTGTGGCAGCAGAGAGGCCCTGGAGGCGGCTGGGTGTTGGGATCCTGGCCGTGGGATGGTTTTTGTGCCCTGGGTTTTTGTGTGGATGCCACGGCTGAGCGCGCTCCGAGCCGAGCTGCTGAAGGATGCTCTGACCACAGAAACCCCCCCATGCAACTCCAGCTCCTTCAGGGCAAAGACATCCCCAGGAAAATTCCAGAAGCTCTCCAAGGAAAGGGCAGGAGAGGAATAAACACTTTCTCCCTGTTGTGCTGAAAGGCTTTTATCTCCCGGGCAAGTTCTGAGCTGCGAGGAGGAGACTCAGCTCTTCCCAAGTTTTGTCTTCCAGGCTGTTCCTGCTGTAACAAATTGTTAAGCAACAAGTACACGGCGTTTGGAGATGTGGGATGAGATAGGGACAGCCTCACAAAGGCGCTCTCACATCTTCAAGGCTTCCTTTTGTGCTCTAGGCTTTTATATATTTATTTTTCTCTCTCTGGCATCCAGCTGCTGCTCCTCTCCTTCCTTCGTTCCCGGTGCTGGAGCTGGAGCCAAGGCCGTGGGTTTGTGCTCCTGTGTCCAGCCAAGCCTGCTCTTATCACAAATCCCTTTTTTCTCCCCGCAGAGCAAACACTGCTCGCTGCTGTTCTCTCACCTCTCCTCCTCCCCCTTTGGTTTTCCGTAAATCCCTCACTTGATTTCTCATGCTTTCTGTGGATTTTGTTTTGTTTCCAGCTTGTTTTTTTTCTCCTTAAAATCCTTTTTTTTTTTTTTTTTTTTTTGGTTTTTTTTTTTTTTTTTTTTTTTTTTTTTTTTTTGTTTTTTTGTTTTTTTTTGTTTGGTTTTTTTTTTTGCTGGACATTAGCCATGCTTTTTCTTTTGTTTTGCTTTTTCTTTTCCCCTCCTCAGGGTATTGTGTAATCATTGGATCCTTTTATTCTATCCCTGTAAATAGACAAAGGAACCAGAACACGGAGTTTTTCCTGGTTCTGTTACCTGTTGAAACGAATCCAAACACCTTTATCCCTCACCAACCCGCCCTGAGCTAATGCTGTAAAAGTGAATTGAGGAAAAGGTAATAAAAACAAAAAAAAAGAAAAAAAAGAAAAAAGAAGATAAAAAAAAAGAAGAGGAATATTTGTGCAGGTGACACTCGTTGTTTGACCCTGCACTGCCAGGGTTGGGCAGCCAGGAACAACATTCCCATAGGGGAAAAACCCCAAAAGGACTGGGAAGTTTGAAATGATAAAAAAGAAAACAAAAAAAGGAATTCCCCATGAGGAGAGTCCAAGCAGGAGATGAAACGTGCTGGAGTCCCAGCAAAGTCGGGAATTTTGGGATCCATCCCTGCGGAGCTGGGGCTTTGCTGGGTGACTGATCCAGAGGGAGCAGCGACTTTTCCTCCTTCCTCCCCCAGCAAATCCAAATTCCAGAGAGGAGAGGGAGAAGGGCTCTGACGTGTGAGGATCCCTCCAATCTCTTCCCTTTTTTTCCTTGGGAAGAGCTGGAGATGCCAGGGCGTTTCTTGGCGTGCAGAGCGTGGATAAAGGTCCTGTCAGCACCTGCCTGTTCGTTAATCCCATTTATCCCAGCGAGGAACGCTCCACGCTCTGCTCCGGGGCTCTTCACAGCACTTTGGGTTTGGGGTGGGCATTTCAGAGCATTTTGGGTTTATTTAGGGTGGGCATTTCAGAGCACTTTGGGTTTGGGGTGGGCATTTCAGGGCATTTTGGGTTTGGGGTGGGCATTTCAGGGCATTTTGGGTTTAGGGTGGGCATTTCAGAGCACTTTGGGTTTATTTGGGGTGGGCATTTCAGGGCACTTTGGGTTTGGGGTGGGCATTTCAGAGCACTTTGGGTTTATTTAGGGTGGGCATTTCAGAGCACTTTGGGTTTGGGGTGGGCATTTCAGAGCACTTTGGGTTTGGGGTGGGCATTTCAGAGCACTTTGGGTTTGGGGTGGGCATTTCAGAGCATTTTGGGTTTATTTAGGGTGGGCATTTCAGAGCATTTTGGGTTTAGGGTGGGCATTTCAGAGCACTTTGGGTTTGGGGTGGGCATTTCAGAGCATTTTGGGTTTATTTAGGGTGGGCATTTCAGAGCATTTTGGGTTTGGGGTGGGCATTTCAGGGCACCCAACCCCAGTGAACACCATCCCAAGAGGAGCCCCCATGGATTTTGGGGCTCATTCCCGAGTTTTAGGAGCTGGAAGCACCTGCCAAGGTTCTGTTGGTGCTGCAGAGCCAGTCCTGGTGCTCTGATGGACATCCCAGATTTCCCCTCTCCCAAAGCCGGCAGGAAATTGCAGCCCGGGAGGAGCGAGCGCTGGTCCCGCATTGTTTGAGGATTGTTTACATCCCTTTTTGGTTATCCCAGCTCCCTGACTCCTCCCTGACCTCGCCGGCTCCTTTGGGCCATTGTGTGCGGCTGCTGCTGTTGTTGTTCCGAGGAGTTCTGGGGGAGGAGGGTTGGAGCAAACCCTGCGGTTACTCAGCCTCAGCCCGCTCCTTTCTGCCTCTGTTGCTTTATTTCACCTAAAAAATAAAAATAAAAATAAAAATATAAATATAAAAATAATAAAATAAAAATAAAAATAAAAATAATAAAATAAAAATAATAAAATAAAAATAATAAAATAAAAATAAAAATAACAAAATAAAAATATAAATATAAATATAAAAATAAAAATAAAAATAATAAAATAAAAATAATAAAATAAAAATAAAAATAACAAAATAAAAATAAAAATAAAAATAAAAATAATAAAATAAAAATAATAAAATAAAAATAAAAATAACAAAAATAAAATAAAAATAAAAATAACAAAAATAAAAATATAAAAATAAAAATATAAAAATAAAAATAATAAAATAAAAATAAAAATAAAAATATAAAAATAAAAATAATAATGACAACAATAATAAAGCAATACCACCACCACAAATAACAATAACAACAATAATAGTAATAAACAATGCCACTAATAATAATAATAATAAACAATACCATCACTACTACAACTACTACTACTACTACTACTACTACTACTACTAAACAATACCACCACCAATAATAATAATAACAGCAACAATAATAATAAACAATACCACCACTAATAATAATAAAAATAACAAAAACAAAAATAACAATAATAATAAACAATACCACCACCAATAACAATAATAATTAATAATAATAATGATAATGATAATGATGATGATGATGATGATGATGATAATGATAATAATAATAATAATAATAATAATAATAATAATAAAAAACCAAAAATAACAATAATAATAAACAATACCACCACCAATAACAATAATAATTAATAATAATGATAATAATAATGATAATAATAATGATAATAATAATGATAATAATGATAATGATAATGATAATGATAATAATAATAATAATAATAATAATAATAATAATAATAATAATAATTCCCTCTAAGTGCAGTCCTGAGTGCTCTGTCCCACTGTGGATTTGGGAGCAGCTCACACATCTTCCCAGACTCAGGATCATCTCCTCGGGGTTTATTTTTTGCTGTCTCTTTTCCATAAAACATTCCTGACAATCACAGAGCCTGAACAGCGGGATGCTCCTGGGAAGCCCAGCCCCATCCCGAATATGGATCCCTGTGTTTTCTCCCCAGGAAAACATTTTCTCTCCAGCATCCTGGTCCTGGAAAGCCGCTCAGAGCTGGACGAAATCTGCCAGTGAATTTGGGATTTCCCAGCAGCGGGCTCAGGGAATCTTGCAGTTGGGTCTGGAATTCTTTGCAGAGCATCCCCCAAGCTCTTCCCCCGGAGCAGGGGAAGGGTCCCAGTGCCAAGTGAGGCCGGGCAGATCCCGGGATCTGCCGGGGAACACCTGCGAGAGGCACTGGGAAAAGCAAGGAAATGTTTAGGCTGGGAGGGGACTGTTGACACTGCAGCTCCAGCAGCTGACGCTGGTCAGGGCAGCCTTGCAATATTCTGCATTTTTTATTGCTCCTCTCCTGGGGGTCAGGCAGAGGGGAAGGATCAGATGGGGCTGGCAGGGCTGGCCAGGACAGGGAAGGTGGTGAGGAGGAGCTGTGCTTCGGTCTCAGGGTGGACCTTCCTTGGAGATTGTGGCCCCAGGAGATGTTTGAGTGGTGTCTGGAGCCCCACGTGTGCTGCCAGAGGAAATCTGGATGATGTGGAAGTGTTTTGTGCTGGGAGAAGGGAACTCGAGGTGCCCCTGTTCTCCGGGGTGGCTCTCGAGGTGGGGAATTTGCCTTCCAAGTGCTCCCAGTTCCTGCGTGTCCCCGTCTGGCCGGGTGGGTTTCTGCCATTCCGTGTTCATGTCAAACCAGCCTGTCTCTCTTGTTCTGTTTTTAGCATGGCTGACAAGAACAGCACCCTGAAATGCACGTTCTCTGCTCCTGGCCACAGCACCACGCTGCTGCAGGGACTGGCCTCGCTCCGAGCCCAGGCTCAGCTGCTTGATGTCATCCTCACTATAAATAATGAAGTGTTTCAGGTTCATAAAGTTGTCTTGGCTGCCTGCAGTGACTATTTCAGGTGAGAATCCCCTAGGGAAGCAGGCACTTTCACCTTTCCCAGGGGTTTTGTGTGTCCCTGTCCTCCCCCACCACACCCCAAAGGTCCCACCCCACGGAAGGCTCTGGAGGTTTGGTTTGCTCCAGGGATGTCCAGGGATGTCCTGCAGGCAGGTGGAGCTTCAGGATCAGTCCCTCTGCACTCAGGATTGCTCAGCTACAGCTGCTGGGCCAAGGCAGGAGTCCAAGCTCAGCTTTTGACCCCACCTGGGCGGGTGTCGATGCTTTTGTTGTGGTTTGGAGGTGGCAGCGAGGGCTCCAAAATGAGCCACCCCATGCTGCTGTTCCCTTTGAGCAGCACTGCTGAGCCTGTAGGGCTCCCTGCTGAGGGCACCAGGGTCCTGTGTGATCCCAGGGGATCCCAGGAGGATTGTCCCAGCTGCTGGGGCTGGAAACAAGCACGGTGAGGAGTTCCTGCACCCAGATTAGTGCAGAGGGAATTGCAGGGCAGGGAATTCAGTCCTGAGTGGAAAGAGGTGTTTTTTCTGTCACATCACAGAATCACCGGGTTGTTGTTGAGGTTGGAAAAGATCTCCAGGTTCATCGAGCTCAGCCTTGTCACCAGAGCACTGAGTGCTGTGTCCAGGAGTTCCTTGGACACCTCCAGGGGTGGGGACTCCAAACCTCCCTGGGCAGCCCCTGCCAAAGCCTGACAACCTTTTCCATGAGGAAATGTTCCCAAAATCCACCCTGAGCCTCTCCTGAGGCCGTTCCCTCTTGTCCTGGTGTCCCCTGGGGGCAGAGCCTGACCCCCCTGGCTGTCCCCTCCTGCCCAAAATTCCCCCTGAGCCTCCTTTTCTCCTCCTGAACCCCTTCCCAGCTCCCTCAGAACCGATTCTCTCTGTCAAACGCCCTTGGAACGGCTCTGGCTGGGATCTTTGAGTCTGGGATCTTTTTGGGCTGGCACCAGTGGCCACCCCAAAAGTGGGGTGACATGAGGGACGTTCTGGAGACACCGTGAGCAGGGAAAGCTCAGACTCAGAGAGAGCTGGGAGCCATTCCAGGCTCCGGGAGGGGTGGAAAAGCGGCTGTGGATGGGATTTGCCATCCCTCGACGTGCAGGTAAACAAGACCCGAGAGGTTTCATCCATCCCTCAGCTGCTCCGAGTTCATTTTCCCTGCTCTCCCCTCCTCTCTCCCCGGGGTAACACAAACCTTGCAGGTTTATCCCACACACAGTTCTCCCCCCAGATGCTAATGGGCACTGTTCTGTTCCTCCCTGCTGGCTCCACTGCCAGGCTGCTTTCAGGGTTGAAATCGAATTGCTGAGTAGGTTCCTCCTCAGAACTTCAGTGGTGCTAAAGAAAGTTGTGCTGGGGAAAACAATGGCAGAATAATCCAGCTTTTGAAAACACTCTGTGGGGTTTTTTTCGTTTTTTTTTTTTGTTTTTTTTTTTATCCTGTGGGAAGGGGGAGGGAAAAGATTGAAATTGAAGCATTTATATAATCAGCATTTTAGAACCATAACGCTTTTCGAAGGGAATCGCATTTTAGTTGATGATTTATCTTCAGCGTGGCAACAATAAAACGCTTTCCTCTCGCTGCTCAGCTGGTGCAGGAGCACACACGTGGCCAAGTGTCCTCTGGGCTGAGGGATCAGGGCTGGGATGTGCAGGGATTTCAGCAGGATGCTCTCATCTGCTGCACGGACAAATAATTGGGAACAGCGTTCCTGGTCACTGGGTTACAGCAGGCTGAGCTCACAGGCAGATATTTCCTTCTTTAGGTCATTTAGGATTTCTTGGGTTTGTGCTGGAAGGCAGCAGGTTTTCTAGCCCGGTTTGGACAGGAAAACTTGGAACTCCTGTCTTCTGACAGTGTTCCCAAGATGTTCCTTTATTCCTGTGTCCGTGCAGGGTCTGGTCAGCATTTTTTGGGGCTGACTCGCGCCTTGGAGCCGGCGCAGGCGGCTCTGGTGACACCACGGATTTACCTTTCCCATGGAGAAGAGAAGGTGGAAAAAAAACCGAGCCAAAATGTGCAGTTTTAAGGCGTTTTGTGTGACAATTCACGGACTTGCTGGGACTGCCTGGTGGCCGGGAGCGGTGACACTCCCCGTGTCACTCCGTGTCACCTGCTCTGCCTTTGCCTGACCCAAAACTCCTCTGCCTCCTCTCCTGGAGCTCCACGGGCTGCAAACCTTTCCCCCCAACCACAAAACCCTCTGGGATGGGCTCTAAATGGCCCAAAGGGCCAAAAATGACCCCAACCCCAGGAGCTCAGCCCCGTCCCCATCCTGCCCCCGGCGCTGGGAGCGCGGCCTCCCGGCCCCGGGCGTGGAATGCGCTTCCTGTGGAATTTTGGAGCCTCCCAAGGAGGTGATCCCTGAGCTCAGCGTGGCCTGGGCGAGCGATGTGCTCGCAGCTGTGCTGTAACTGAGCCTTTTCCCCCCCATTTTTGTTTAATTGCCTGTCAGCCCCCTGCTGCCGGCCTTGCCGGAGGGGCTGCGGCTCCCATTTTTCCAGGCCTTGGGAAGGAGCCCTGGAGGAGAGGTTCTGCTGGATAGACCAAAGCTGTTCCTGAGATGTGCTGCACCTGCAGGTTTTGAGCCGTTTCGTGGCTCCCTGTGAGGTAACAGGCCCGAAATTTGCTGCCAGGAATCGCCGTCCTCCAACCACGGGGTGTTCCTTCCTTGTGCTCCCAAATCCTAAACCTGAACCCCTCCAGGCTCCCGGTCCCCGCTGGTGCAGCTCCCGTGGGATCCGTTCTTGTCGGAGATCACGGATTCATTGGTGTCCAGAACTGTTCACTGCCTGCTCCGGCAGCTCTGCCTCCTCCTGGAGCTCGGTCCTGTGCTCTGCTCTTAATTCCTGCTGCCAGTGGGATCAAAAAACTTCTCCAGTTGCTGAATATTCCTGCTCAGCGCGCTGTTTATGCAAGCCTTATGTAAGTCATCGCGCGCTCTCATTTCTCCCGGCTCGCAGAGATTTAGCCTTGATTTATTCCCCCCTTTCCCCAGCCTAGGAGAATCAGAGTGTTAAAGGAAATCCAATTCTGAGGTGCTGCATCTTTTGCTTCAACGGGGGCGGGGATTTTTTTTTCTCTCTGTTTGTGTCGCTGACCTGCAGGGCGATGTTCACGGGAGGGATGAGAGAAGCCAGCCAGGACGTGATCGAGCTCAAAGGCGTGTCTGCCAAGGGCCTGAAGCACATCATCGACTTCGCCTACAGCGCCGAGGTGACGCTGGACCTCGACTGCATCCAGGACGTGCTGGGAGCCGCCGTCTTCCTGCAGATGGTGCCGGTGGTGGAGCTGTGCGAGGAGTTCCTGAAGTCGGCCATGAGCGTGGAGACGTGCCTCAACATCGGCCAGATGGCCACCACCTTCAGCCTGGCCTCCCTCAAGGAATCCGTGGACGCCTTCACCTTCAGGCACTTCCTGCAGATCTCCGAGGAGGAGGATTTCCTCCACCTGCCCCTGGAGCGCCTGGTGTTCTTCCTGCAGAGCAACAAGCTCAAGAGCTGCAGCGAGATCGAGCTGTTCCGCGCCGCCGTGCGCTGGCTGCAGTTCGACCCGGCGCGCCGCGCCAGCGCCAGCCGCGTGCTCTGCCACATCCGCTTCCCTCTGATGAAATCCTCGGAGCTGGTGGACAGCGTGCAGACCCTGGACATCATGGTGGAGGACGTGCTGTGCCGCCAGTACCTGCTGGAGGCCTTCAACTACCAGATCCTGCCCTTCCGGCAGCACGAGATGCAGTCGCCGCGCACGGCCATCCGCTCCGACGTGCTGTCCCTCGTCACCTTCGGCGGCACGCCCTACACCGACAACGACCGCACCGTCAGCTCCAAGGTCTTCTGCCTGCCCGACGCCGGCGGCCGCCAGTTCCGCGAGCTGAGCGAGATGGAGGTGGGCAGCAGCCACTCCTGCGTGGCCGTGCTGGACAACTTCGTCTACCTGGTGGGAGGGCAGCAGCTGCAGTACCGCAGCGGGGAGGGCGCCGTGGACGTCTCCTACCGCTACGACCCCCACCTGAACCAGTGGCTGCGCATCCAGGCCATGCAGGAGAGCAGGATCCAGTTCCAGCTCAACGTCCTGCGCGGCATGGTTTACGCCACGGGCGGCCGCAACCGCTCGGGCAGCCTGGCCTCGGTGGAGAAGTACTGCCCCAAGGACAACGAGTGGAGCTACGTGTGCTCCCTGAAGCGCAGGACGTGGGGCCACGCCGGGGCCACGGTGGGGGACAGGCTGTACATCTCGGGGGGTTACGGCATCTCGGTGGAGGACAAGAAAGCGCTGCACTGTTACGACCCCGCCGCCGACCAGTGGGAGTTTAAGACCCCCATGAACGAGCCCAGGGTGCTGCACGCCATGGTCAGCGCCAACGGCAGGATTTACGCCCTGGGAGGCCGCATGGACCACGTGGATCGGTGTTTCGACGTCCTGGCCGTGGAATATTACGTCCCCGAGACGGACCAGTGGACCACGGTGAGCCCCATGCGCGCGGGGCAGTCGGAGGCCGGCTGCTGCCTCCTGGAAAAAAAGATTTACATCGTCGGGGGCTACAACTGGCACCTGAACAACGTGACCAGCATCGTGCAGGTGTACAACACGGAGACGGACGAGTGGGAGAGGGATTTGCACTTCCCAGAGTCTTTTGCTGGCATCGCCTGTGCCCCCGTTATCCTCCCGCAGGTGACGAGCCAGAGGTGACTCTGGGGGGCTCCTGGGACACGAAACAGCTCCAATTCCCTGCTCCAGAAGGTCCCTCCTGCTGCTGGGGAGTCCTGGTGAGGCGGTTCCACCAGCAGCACTTGTCAGCCAGGCAGACTGAGCAGATGTTCCAGCTGGGAAAAGCTTTTCTCTCCTCTCTCTGGGTTTTTGGTTGTTTGTTTTGGTGTTTTTTTTTCTTTCTGGGGGGTGCATTTTGCCGATTTCTCGTGTTTTTAACGGCCTCACGCACTGCAAATGTTGGCAGCTCAGGAGTCACTCAGCACTGGGGTCTTGTTTCCAAGAGATCAGGTGGGGGTTTTTTATCAATAGCTCCAAAAATTAAAAATCCTCGTGGGTCGCTTTGTTGGATTTTTAACAAACAAACAAACAAACAAAAAAAAAAAGCCAAAAAAATAAAACCCAAACCAAAAGCTGTGTAACACACTGACCTCCAGAAGCAATAAAAGGACAGTGGGAGCTACAAGAGCTCAGGTGCTTGGGTTGGGAAAGCAGATCCCTCTTTTCCAAAGGTGACTTTTCCTTTTCTTCCCTTCCTGAAAAAGGGAATATTTATCCCTGCACACCTCTGGTCTTCACTGCTTGGATCATGCTGTAATTCCTCGTCCCCTCCAGCTCCTCTAGTGCAGAAATTCTCCCTTAATTGGGGTTTGCAGCACTAAAGCCATGGTGAAAGCTTGATTATATATAAACAGGCATGATTATTTGGGTTTAGAAGTGCCAAAAATTCGGCTGCCCTGGCAATAAGAGCTCTGCAGTCAGCGAAACCAAGAGCTCCTGCAGATCCTGGGTCGGGATTTTCACCTTTCCCAGCACCTTCATCCCAACTCTTCCTCCGGTAAAGGAGGTGGGTGCTACTCCTTCAGCAGATGGAAGATTTTCTTCCCTGCCTTGTGAATGAGCTCCTTGGCATCCCAAAATGATGGGAGCCCCACTGGAATGTGGGTTTTTTTTTGTCTTTTTTGTTGTTGTTGTGGTATTTTAAATGAAGAGATCTCTTTAAGATGGCTCTGTGGTTTTTTTGTAAAATCTTCACTTGCACAGAACACTTCCTGAACTTTCTCCTCCAAGCCATTTTCCTTATTTAATTTGAGGAATGAATTGCAAAAAAAATCTCTGCTTTTATCAGGAATTCCGTTTCCAAGGGCTTTGTTTTGTATCTGTGTCAGCTTGATTGGGATGCACACGGCCTCCTTTTGTAGAGAAGCTGTTGCATTCCGCTGCGAAATAAATCCTGGGCTGCAACCTTTAGTGACAATTTGTAATGTTTGGTGTGCTGGTGGATCCTTGAGGGCTGTGTGTAAAGCAGGAACTCCACACCTCGGAGATTTTTCTGGAATTCACGGGGTCAGAGCACCTTTGGGCACTCACATTTTGAATTTCAGGTGAAAGCCACGCAGGATTTCCTCCGTTCCTCTCCCCGTTTTTGCCATTTTGAAATGGATGGGAAGGACGTGTTGCTGTGTGGAATGGTGAAGTTTAAGTGACTCCTTTTGGAGTCAGGGGGCCTGGGATGGGCTTGGCAGAGACAGGAGATGCTGAGAGGATGAACTGGAGCTCAGCTCGAGCTTCACAGTCACAAAGGAACGGATTTTCCTCCTTTTTTACAAACACGGTGTTTCCTCAGGTGGGTGACAAACAGAGGTGTTCCTCCCTTTCCCTGCTGCAGGATCTGCTCAATCCTCTTCTCAAGCTGCCATTCCCTCATCCAGAGTGACACAGAGGGTGGGGAATTCGGGATAAATCCATCCCTGGGAGGGTGGGCAGCTTCCCAGATCCCTGGAAGTGTCCAAGGCCAGGCTGGAGCCACCTGGCACAGTGGAAAGTGTCCCCAACCCAAACCACGCTGGGATTCCACGATTCTACAGCCACTCAAATATTCTTCCCCGTTTTATTTTGAATTTCCCCCCATCCCTGTGGCAGCAGTGGATGCTCTGGGTGCTCTGTAATCCCTGAGTTTTTCTGGATGTGGTTCCCATGCCGCAGATCCACGTGCAGAGCATCCCTGGAATCTTTTCCTGAGGAAACCAAGCTTTGTTTTCCCCTGCAGGTTTCTCAGGTAGGTGTGTGTGTGCGTGTGTTGGGGAAAAGAGGAAAACCCTTGGAAAACATGGAAGAGCCTGTTAGGGCTCACTTGGAAAAATAAACGTAATCCAGGAATTGATTCCTGCTGGAAGCGTTGTTTTGCAGGCAGGAGGATGCACAAAGCCCTTCTGGAATTCTGTTTATTTATTATTTATTATCAATTGCCTGCCACGAAGGAAAACCAAGCTGGGATTCCCATTCCTGAGGAGCTGGGAAAGGATCTGGGAGTCTCTGGATCAGAGCACCGCAGCTCTTTGTTACTGGAATGTTCTTTTTTAGAGCAATGTAAATAATTATTTCTCACCAGAAGAGCTGGAAATCTTCTAAATTTAGCAGAGACTCGAATATTTGTGGATCATAAATATTTTGGATGAGGAATTTTGCTTGGCCCCCCGTGCAGGGGGATGGAGTCGTGGCTCCGGGCTGGGCACAACCTCTCTGATATTCTGAGATATAATAATAATAATAATATTAATATTAATAATAATAATAATAATATGGGTTTGGTGCTTCAACAGTTGATGGTTTCAGGAGGGTTTTCCCATAAATACGGATGGGATTGTGTGGAAACACTTCCCAGGATGCCCCACGTGGAAAGGAGGTGGATTGGGCTCCTCTTTTCCTGAGGAATGAGCAAAGCCAGATAAATCTTTGATTGCTCTTGGAGTCGTTCATGGCTCTCAAAGGAGCCATAAAAATTCTAGGGGTGAAATGGGTAAATTTGGGAATATCCTTGGGGGTGAAATGGGTAAATTTGGGAATATTCTTGGGGGTGAAATGGGTAAATTTGGGAATATCCTTGGGGGTGAAATGGGTAAATTTGGGAATATTCTTGGGGGTGAAATGGGTAAATTTGGGAATGTTCTTGGGGGTGAGTTGGGTACATTTGGAAATGGCCCTGGGGGTGAAATGGGTAAATTTGGAAATGGCCCTGGGGGTGAAATGGGTAAATTTGGGAATGGCCCTGGGCAGATGGGGAGCAGGGGAAGCCGGAACATCGCTAGCACAGAGCCTGTGTGTCCCTCCAGAGGCTCCTGTCAGGGCTGGGATAACAATTCCTGTCTCCTCTGATGTTTTATGGGCCTGAAATTGCGCTTAAAACGATAAAGGCAGCCCTGGGAGTCTTGGCAGGGCGGAGAGCAGCGAGAGATTGGGAATGTCTGCATCCCATTAATGGTGTCACTGACCCTTTTCCAGAGGGTCTGCCTGCTCCCAATCCCACTGTCACTTCTCCCTAGCCCAGAGCCCGGATAATTCACACAGACGTGGAAGGTTTTTAACAGCAGTGGGGGAAAAAAAAATTTCCATTTCTTTGATTCAGACAGAAGGAAGACACTCCCAGCAGCTCCCAGTTAGCCTGGTGCTGGTTTGGAGTGCTGCTGTGGGAGCCACATCAATTCCATTCCAAGAAATTCCCACTTCCACGGCTCCGATAAGGGCTGGAAACTCCGCAAAACTTTCGGGACATTTATCACAGCAGGATTATTGGAGCCAGACTACTGTCAGGATAAATAAAACATGTTCCCCAGTGCAGCTCTAATTATGATTTTTAGCCAGTTGTGTAATGTGCAGAACTTTATTTACAATAAATCTTCCAGTTGCTCGCACAAATGAATGGGATTTCATCGCCGGTGACTGAAGGAGCAGGAAAAGTGGATGTGGCTGGAGAGGGAGGGAGCAGGGCTGGCTGCTCTGGCCTTCCAAGGAGGGCTCAGCTCCCCTGGATTCCACCTGGGAGCACAGAAATATCCCCCAGACATCTCCCCCCGAGCTTTAGTGCGGAGACAGCCGCGGTTGCTGCCTCGGTGAGTGGGCACAGCAGCATCCCGCAGCCTCCAGGACTTTTTGTTTCTGCTTCCCAGCTCCTCTCTGAGCTCCTGGAGCGGGCGTTTGGCAGCTCTCCGTCCGACAGCTCAGCTCCAGGGAGGAGTTTCAGCTTTTATCCCTGGGGCAGGTGTGTTCCCCAGCGCTGAGGAGTCCGGAAAATGAACACAAAATGGGTTTTTGTGCTGGGAAACGGCTGCTGGTTGAGCTGTGCCACCCAAAATTGGGCTCAGATCTCGGGGAAACAGGGCAGGAGCAAGAGGAGGGTGACAATTCCCACCCCAGCAGTGCCCAAGGCCAGGTTGGAGGGGGTTTGGAGCAGCCTGGGACACTGGAAGTGCCCCCCTGGACCATCTCTATCCAGCCCACACCACCCTGGGGTCACCTGGAAACCAAAAAGCTGCCAGGGCAAAAGTTTCTATAAACTGGAGAGAGAAATCAAAGCTTCTTGGCTGGCTCCCTGAGGCTTTGCAGTTGCTCTTTCACACCCAGGCCCCTGTAATTAGCTAGAACTGGTTTATATGGCTTCTTAAGGAATGAAAATCTCATTTTTTTGGGGGGTTTGTTTGTGCAGGCCGCCGGCCCAGGCTGTGCTGGCTGCCCCAGAGCCCAGCTGGAGCGAGGCTTTTGAAGTCTGGCTTTGTCCTGTCCAGGAGCACCTGGAGCAGAATGGATCCTTTCATACATTTCATCTTTTTTCAGCTGCACCCAGAGGTATTTTCCATGGGGTGTTTGTGACCAGGCTGTTAATCCTGCCCACTGAGCTTTAAATGCAAAGCTTTAAATTTGTTTATTTATTTGGCTTTAACTGCAAAAGTTTAAATTTATTTATTTATTTAGCTTGAAATGCAAAGCTTTAAATTTATTTATTTATTTGGCTTTAACTGCAAAAGTTTTAATTTATTTATTTATTTAGCTTGAAATGCAAAGCTTTAAATGCAAAGCTTTAAATTTATTTATTTATTTATTTAGCTTGAAATGCAAAGCTTTAAATTTATTTATTTATTAAGCTTTAAATTTATTTATTTATTTAGCTTGAAATGCAAAGCTTTAAATTCATTTATTTATTTAGCTTGAAATGCAAAGCTTTAAACTTATTTATTTATTTATTTAGCTTTAACTGCAAAAGTTTAAATTTATTTATTTATTTAGCTTGAAATGCAAAGCTTTAAATTTATTTATTTATTTATTTATTTAGCTTGAAATGCAAAGCTTTAAATTTATTTATTTATTTATTTAGCTTGAAATGCAAAGCTTTAAATTTATTTATTTATTAAGCTTTAAATTTATTTATTTATTTAGCTTGAAATGCAAAGCTTTAAATTCATTTATTTATTTAGCTTGAAATGCAAAGCTTTAAACTTATTTATTTATTTATTTAGCTTTAACTGCAAAAGTTTAAATTTATTTATTTATTTAGCTTGAAATGCAAAGCTTTAAATTTATTTATTTATTTATTTATTTAGCTTGAAATGCAAAGCTTTAAATTTATTTATTTATTTATTTAGCTTGAAATGCAAAGCTTTAAATTTATTTATTTATTTAGCTTGAAATGCAAAGCTTTAAATTTATTTATTTATTTAGCTTGAAATGCAAAGCTTTAAATTTATTTATTTATTTATTTAGCTTGAAATGCAAAGCTTTAAATTTATTTATTTATTTAGCTTGAAATGCAAAGTTTTTTGGGGGGTTTTTTGGGTTTTTTTTTGCCCTCCCCCTGCTGCTGCTGTGGCCTGGGGTGGTGTTTGATGCTCCTGAGGATGCTGTGGCTCCCTGGCAGGATCGGTGCTGCCTCCAGGAGCTGGATTCAGCAGGAATGTTGGAATTTCAGGGAGGTTTGGAAGGGAGAGGTTTGCCCTGGGCTGCAGGTAACGTGCCTGGGCTGTTCCTTTTTGCAGGGTTTGGGGTTTGCACGTCAGGGGAGGCTGCCAGAAGCCTGGGCTTGGAGAAAATCCGAGTTTTCCCCATGGAAAAGGGGCAGGATTAACCTCTGGATGGGCAGAGGAGCCCCCTGTGAGTGCTGCAGCTCCAGGGATGATCCCGGGGGGAACAGGGACCCTGACAGGTGATTCAGGTGGGATTTGGGGAAAAAATCTTTCTCTGTGAGGGTGGGGAGGGATGGAATTCCCAGAGCAGCTGTGGCTGCCCTGGAAGTGCCCAAAGGTTGGAGCTGGGGTGGTGGGAGGGGTCCCTGGGCAAAGGCAGCGGCTCCCAGGAGCCACAAAATCAGGAATTCTGTGGCTCAGTCTCCTGCTGAAAAATCAACATTAGCCATGCTCCCACCTCACTGAAATGAGGGAAACTCGGGACTTGGTTTATCAGGATTTCATGGAAAAATCACCTGTAACTGAATTAA